ACGGCCACATGCCAGGTATCGTCCCACCGCACACCTGGGGGGGTCACACACCCGGGGGCTGGGGGTACCTGGACCTCTGGACGTCGCAAAGACAGAAAAGCAGCTCCCCCTCCTTGCCCCGATCCAGCGGCTGCTGAGCTCCTGCGCCGGTGTTTGGTCTCCTTGCAGAAGTCAGAGCTGAATGGGCCCCGTTGTGTTGCTTTCCAGGCAGTGCGAGCCAGAAATGCAGGAGGAAGAGGAGGAGGAGGAGGAGGGAAGGGTAGAGCACCTCTGGAGAGAGGGCAGTGACCCAGACATGGCCTCCCCCTCGCCTCGCAGGGTGCTGGGCAGCCGGGAGCCTGATGTGGCACAGCATCGGCCCGGCCAGAGCCCGCGTGGGGTTCGCATTCGCTGGTTCCCGGGCTCCGCCGCTCCTTTCCCGGCTGCGTAAGTCACGGGAGCTACAGAGCTTTTCCACTTTCTGCTTTCCCCAGGAGCTACAGGGCAGAGGGGTGACAGCCAGCCAAAACTGCAACAGCGCCGATAAGCCTGAGCAAAAGCAATGCCACAGCTACAGCCCCATTACCCACATCACATTTACAGCCCCATTTTTTTACTCCCCATTTTGCTTCTCTGCCTGTTTCGAAGAGGCCAGGGTGGCAGTGCCTGTGTGAAACACTATTTACTTGCAGAAGAGCTTGGAGGCCTTCGTTTTCCTCCCCGACTCTGTCCGCTTATTGCTCCCATGACACAGGGTGCCTGCCGGACCACGCTGATGCCCTGAGCTGCTCGGAGGCACCGGCTCTCAGGCTCATCTCTGCTCTGCTGTGCCGGGAGGACCCTCGGGGATGTCGGTCCAGGGGGGATGAACCTGCCCCGAGCTGGCAGGAGTCGCCCTGGGGAGTTCGCCGCCTGTGCGCCGAAGCACCGAGACTCATTTCAGGGGTCGCGGCTGACCTCAGGGAGAGCCGTGCCTGTTGCGCATTACGGCTGCGCTCTGGCCAGCGCTGGTGGGCTTCACCCTGCCTCGGCCACCGGCACGGCTGGGCCCTTGTGTCCCCTCCGAGCTGCTCCTGTCCCCTACCGAGGCTGGAGGGAGGCCGCCGCTCTTTGCTCTCTCTGACGGGGCATGAAGGCAGCACAGTTGAACTTCCATTTGGTGGGGTTTAACCCACCCCTGCCAGGCCAGATGCTTTTGCTTTCCATTAAAGAAAATGTTTCACCTTTACCTGCAAGAAGCCCCATCCTCTTACTACCACTGCAGGGTTGCACTGCTCACAGACGCACCCAAAACTGCTCCATGCAGACAAAGCTCGGCACCGCCGCTGCCTTGCTGGCCTAACGACGTCCAAATTAAAAATACTTCTGACGACAGCAGTGCTTTCGAGGTGAGACGGTTGCACCAGCCAGGCTGAAGCAGCACTAGAACGACCCCATGTTCCTCCAGGGCACCGCTGGGAAAGTCATCCTCTGGGAGCAACTTCTAAGGGAAAGCAAAGTTAGCAGTTCCCTTTTTTTTTTTTTTTCCTCTTAATCCTAAGGCATAAGCCAATTTTAAGGGACTTCTGAGTCCCTATCCTAACTAGAAGCAAATCTGCCTTCTGTAGAGACTGTGTCACTTCCGTGCTCACACCCCTCTTTTTCCTGTAGACATCTCGACACTGAATACCAAGAAAATCCAGTTTCTAAATAGTGTTTGCTTTGGAAAGAAATTTAGGGAGCAGCATCTCACACTTGTTCTGCTACCATGGCTCGGCTACTTGAAACTTCCCGCCCAGGCTCTCCCCCCGACCTGGCCCCCAGGCCCCTGCGCATCCCTCGGACCTTCGCAGGCTCTGCCGCACAGCCCCGCGCACACCACGGCACCCGCTGCAAACGGCCTCCCGGAGACGCTAACCCCTTGGCTTGGTCTCGGCATCTCCGTTCAGCATCACGTTCCTTTTCTCCATCACCCTCCTGCCAGGGCAGAGGGACACAAAGAGCAACAAGAGGCCAAGGAAAGCTACGCTGGGTTCAAGACTTACCGAAAATACAGGTTCTTTTACATCTTGGTTTTGCCCTCAAGCTCATGACAAAACGTAACAGATCGGCTTTTGCAACAGACAGCTGAAGGAACGGGATGGGACAAGGCGAAGGATCCTGCAGGGACCGAAGCTCCTTCTGTAGGTGCAGGTTATCTTCACTTCAGTTGATTCGGGCACAGAGGAATTCCAGCTTCAGTCACAGGAACTGGGAGAAAACGCGTTTTGCTCTTAGCCTTAGGGCAGCCTTATTTTAACGAGGGGACACTGCTCCTACACAAAGGCCAGCACCTCCCCTGCCAGAGCGAGGAGAGACACCGCTTTCCTGCGCCTGCTAGATCACAGCCACACAAAAATTCCCCCAGCCACCCCAGTTTCACCAACGGTTGCCTTCAACGGGCCCACAACCTGGAGAAATTTAAGCAGAGACTGTACGCAAGTAGGTCTCGCACATACCACGCACTTTATTTCAATCCAGCGCCCCAAGCTCTTTTTTTCTCTCCGTGCTGCCTGCACAGCCTGGGAATTAACACCAGCTTTTCCGGCGTTCAGGCCAAGCACATGCACCCTGCCAGCTGTGGCACACGTTGCCTCTACAAGGAAGGGACAGCTAACTCCATTTCCTTGACTTCTTTCTGGCACTATTTATACTGCAGGTTGATTGCAAGGTCAGATAAGGAAGGATGACTAGTCTCCTCCAACAGAAAAGAGAGAGGGAAGGAACAACTCTTTGCTACCTAAAGAGAAAGAGATGTGTTGATTCTCAGAGGCTTGAAGAAGAGGGAGCAGGACCAGCCCGTGAGCTTGTGTGCTCCGGAGGGGTACAGGTACAATCCTCCATACACAGATTTAGGAGCATCTGCTGCTACTCCTTCAGTGCAAGAAAAAAAACCCAAACCCACAGCCCTACCCAAGAAGGATCAGCACAGCCCTAATTCTTCGTGCTCTTACAGGCGCTCAGCTTCCAAACATGTGAACAGTGCACACAGTCCCAGTGCTTTGTCAAAGTGAGGAAAAAGGGAACACGTATTCCACAGGGATCTCACGGATTGTATTCGTTTCCAAACCAAGCCTATTTAATTAGGAAGAGAAGGGAAAGGGACAGGGAAAGGCCAGGAAGAGGGAACAACACAGGCAATGGCAAAAAAAATTTACAAGAAAAATATGCTTGCTCCTTTAAGCAATGGCCACCAGGGTCAGCCACGCTACACGAATATTCCAAGCCACAGCAGCAGGGGAGTAGTATATTAAAATACAAATCAGCCACACACTGCTTTCGACAAATGGACTTGAAAGAAGAAACAAAGGGGAGCACACCTTGCCCCTCTGACCCGGCAGCGGCAGAAGAGGGTCAAGCACTTCCCTGGCCTGGAGAAGCAGGGACAGCAGCAGCAGCAGCAGCAGCCTCTCTCTTGCACGGTGCTGAATGCTATCAGGCAGGAGCCACAGTCCCATAAAATAAAATAAAATGCCCAACTGGGTTGATCCTGATGACAGCACTTCTGGGCCCCGTGTTAGGCTTGGCACACCCTTGCCAGTGTGACTGAAGTGGAGAATTCTTCTTTTCAATTCACGCAGGGCTCAGCAGCTGAGCGTTCTAGCATAAACACCTGCCCTGCAGACCAGGGTGTCACTTCATGAGGAACAGAAAAAAAATATTCAGAAGGAATTGTCCAAATTTGTTAAGGCAGAAGGAAGGACAGACCTCCTGCAGCAGGGACAAAAAAAAAAAAAACCACCACAACAAAAAAAAGGAAAGGACAGCAGGTCTGTATGGGCTCTGGGATCCTCTCCCATCACGCAGCTCTGAGCTTTCCGCTGACGACAGTCCTATGAGGAGGGAAGGGCACAGCAGCACATCTTACAGCTGGTGGAGGGTTTGTAAGAGCATGTGGCGAGCAAACGAACAGGAGTCGAGAGCACGGTTTGGTCTGTGGAAAGAGGAGAGAGAGAGATTTAAAATCCTAAATTTAAGAACTGCTTTGTGTCTGACTTTGAACGAGCAAATAAACGCTATTTCAAACGCACTGGGCTCGCACGCCCAAAAGCCTACATCTTCTCCCTTCCATTATCTCTTCTGAAACCGTTCCCTCATCGCTGCACAGATCACTGCTTCCCACTCAGAGCTTGCTGTGGACAATTCTCTCTGCTTCGCCGAGTCCGAGCCAGGAAGCCAATGACCAAGAGTCAGAACATTTATTTCCACGGGTACAAAAATCAGCAGCAGCTTGTTGATCTCCGCAGCCCGGTGTCTCATTAAGGGTAGAACAAAGTGGGTGGGGGTGGAAGCCCCCTTCCCGCCGTTCTGGCAATGGGATTTTCCACACAGATCCACTGTTTAGGCCCCAAAACACAGAAGACAAGCCTGCTCGGACACTCAAATCTTCTCTCACCAACTCATCTGCTATCAATGGTGACTTTGGTCTCAGAGGCTTTTAAATCTTTAAAAGAGGCAATGTAACCTCCTGCCCTCCCCACCCCTGAGGTCAGGTAACACCTGACCAGCTTCGCTGGGCCACCTTTCAGGGTGCCTTACAAATCGCCCAGAGATCCTGCAGGGCATCGTCGGAAAGGGCCTGGCACAGAGATCGCAATAGCGAGGTCTACCTCATGCAGAATAACCTGCTCCTTGAAACTAGACGACGGAAATATACAGTCACAGCAGGGTTAACACGGGGCTAAATTTCCCTAACATTGCCATCACCTCCCAGTAACATATAATTCCGTTTCCACAGACTAACTGATCTCTAAGCATCGCTGAAAATTCTAACCGTCTGTATCCATCCATTAAGGAACTTCCTCCAAAGAATTTTAATCCAATGTTTTCCACTGTTCTGAGAATGGAAATAGTTAATTTTACTTTCTCCCATCCCACCACACCAAAATAACCTTTAATAATTAGTAGGAGTGAGGTCTACTCAATTTGGGAAAGAAGGGTGAGCTGAAATAAAGACTGGAATATCTGGGTAGGAGCAAGAAGTTCATCTCTGGATTTGCAGTCCACGGGCAATGGCTGCAGAGGTTGGTCGGCACAGGGCTCCATGTCTGCTGCGGTTTAACAGAAGCACAGCCTGGAGAGGAGTTAACCCCTTTTATTCCCCCAAGAGCCATTCAACACCCCACACCGAACAGCCAGGACATAATTACAACTTGCAGTTTGTCTTCAAAAGTGGCTGGGTGAGGTATTTTCAGTCGTCACCTTTGGAAGACCCAGGCCTGTTTGCAATGAGCAGGCTGATTCTGTCTCAGCAGCTCCCTGGTCGTGGAAATAGAGAACCCAAACTGCTGATGTTGATCGCAGCCAAGCTTCCGCAGCCTCCACTCCCAACACTAAGCCTCCTCTAACACTAAGAGGCTCCTTACTTGCTGTGGAGTTAAACTGCCTGCCACTCGCTGCTACAGACTGTTGAATGTGATTCAATCCAACAGCAAAAAGCAGAAAAAAAAAAAAAGAGCCAACCCCCCTCCCAAAAACTCCAACCCTTACAAAAAACCCCCCCACCACCTCCCACAAGTCACAAGCGGGCAGGCAGACATCCGCATACTTTCAGTGTTTCCACCTAAAAGATTATGGAAAAGCACATGTGGATCCCAGTACCCTCTTGTGTCCAAAGAAAGAAAATAAGGGCTGAGAGCAGAGTAAGATGGATGCTGCTTACAGTCCGTATCCATAATTTTATTATCATCGTTGAATGGACAACACTACCTACAACATCCCAAATTGTCACAAAAGAAAGGAGGAGAACGACTGCTCCAGAAGGAAGCCCCTTGCAGCGAAAGGCAGCAGAGCTCTAGCCTAGGCAGCTACAAGAACTTTGCAGCTCTAGAAGCCCAAAGGAGCTAACCGGAAAAACCTAGAAAATGTCACAAAAAGGCATACCAATTTGCTGCAAACGAAAGGCTCATGGGTTTGACAGAGTGGAAGCAGATTTGTTGCAGAAACAGAGCCCAAATGAGCTCTGCAGATTACTACGTTAACCAGTTAGAGGTTTGATTTAAGGTTAGGACGTGATTTTGTTCTGACTGAATTCCAAGGAAAGACAAAGGGCATGGGTTAATGGAGAAGCTCTTTTAACTGGACTTTGTGGTTCTTGAACTGGTATTGTTCTCTCCAGGCAACTGTAAAGGATTTAACAGCTGTTCTCCTTGTTCCCTTAGGGAGAGGATTTAAGAAATACATATATTTATAAAACACAAAGTTATATTGCTTGTATATAGTGTTGTCTTCACTATGCTGCACAGGACAGAAGCTTCCTATGATAATATCACACCTTGCAACAGAGGGGTTTGTAAATCAGAGACAGCTACGGTTCAAAGGATGTCATAGCACCAGGCACACTGCAAGCTGGCATCAGCACCCTTACGTACCAAAGGCAGGCAGACAGGTCTGCCTTCTACTGGGAGAGGCTCTCGGCTCTCACACAACTTTTACAGAACCTTTGAAAAATCTCACACTTTCAGAAAGAGACTTTCCCCTCTTGCACTTGTAGTGAAATGCTGACTGTGGATTCAATGAATTTCTGTTGATGAATTCATGAAGACCAGAACTTTACTCTTATTTTGTCACATACAGCATCATCTACAGATGAAAAACATTTACTGGTGTTTTGCAGGCCTCGAACCTGGGAGAGGCCTACAGACACACACACAGGGAGAGGGGGACAAGTGTCTTCTGTGAGCAAATTTATTTAGAAAGACACGTCAAGTTGAGTTATGAGGCTACTCTGGGCACTGGAACCTGACATAAGCAATTAGAAGGGTCAAATGCACTGAACCAAAGTCCCATTTTCTGTATTCCCAACTTCAAGTGATTTAAATCCTCTATTTGGAGGGCTGGGGCTGATAGACACTAAATGGTTCTTGATCAAGCTGGGTCTCTGTATAACTACTGCCTGATGAAGTAAGCCAGCATTTTCTTCACCCTTTTATTTTAGGGCTGGTATTGGATCCTTTCGCTGTACATATCTACTTGATCAATAAGCAAGATCACAGGCAGCAGCAGTGTATGAAACCGCAGAAATCCAGTGATCTGTCTGGACAACTTCACATCACAAGTCCTGACACTTCTTGCTGTAACGATTGAGCTGGAGGTGTATTTGTTCGGTTGGTAAAGCATGTGATCGTTGGCTTGTAACTGCCTAACTCTTAGCCTGATCAAGCCACAGAGAGGAGACAGCAGACAAACTGTTCCACCAGAAGGGTCTCTAGGTGAGCATTTGCACATGGGTAAACAAGCTAGCTACAGTTTTATCTTCCAAAGCTGACCTTAGCATGGCTGGGTGCTGCTACCGCTGCTACACATCAGCTTTGACAGCTTCAGGCACACCAACGCCTGGAAAAACTTCTCCCCTATCACAACTGGCCTGCTTCCAATCCCAGTAGAACTAAGAAAAGACGGACTACCAATATTTGACTGCATCCCTATCGCCCGTGTTTCGTACTGACCACAAGTACTTGACGCCTCTGCTTTTCATCAGCAAGAGATTCTAAGCGTCTGCGTATTACTCATACCATGAAAATCAGGAAGGCTTAAGCCTCATTCTGGAACCTGTTAAAAAGCTGCTCTCACCCTACATGGCACGTGGTTCATGCTGAGCCAAACAGCCACCAAGCTCCAAATGGATTTCAGACCTCTGCTGGTTTTGCCTAAAGTGACAATTTTGGACCATTTCTCCTCTTGACTGCTGAAGAGTAGTATTTAATCCTTACTCTCTTGAGGGAAGGTCTGTTTCGTGGTTTTTTTTCTAAGGCTCATCAATGCTGAAGTTCACACCGATTTAATACAGAAGAGAGATGGTTTCCACAGCTATTGCATTTGCCAAGCTTTAATACATTAAAGAACCTAAAGGTGGTGGGGGTTGATTCTATACCTATACTAGAAGCAACAACATTAGAGGCAGGCAGTAGAAGCAGCTTCATTCAACACTCATGCTCTCAATTTAACTCTCAGAAAAATCACTTAACCTTGTTGCTGTCACAGTAAGAAGTTTCATTTAGAAACAAATTCAGTCTTTCTGTTTTGCAGTGTTTTGAGATCTGCTGGTGTTCAGTGTTACACAGCACAACAATTCAGGTAGAGCTCTGCTGACCCTCACACTCAGAAGGATGATCTGGAGAGCGCAGTTAGATGCGGCGTACTCATACTTGACTCAAGCAGCAGCTAGAAACCTAGCAGATGTCCTTAAGCTCAAAACACCTCTTCTGTGACTGGCATTAGCAGTCTCTGCTTAAGAGCCAGTGAGTTGCAAAGCCAGCTTTCCACTATTTCTTCTTTAGGAACAAGATTTTTTTTTTTTTTACCCTAAACCTTGCATACTGGAGTAAGCAAGATAAAAGTAGAGGCCCATTAAACCATTAATCCTTAATTTCAGAACAAATATTTAGCAGGCTTTAACAGAACTGCTTGCATGTAGCTATTAACCCTCAAAAAGTTCCACTAGCTCCCGTAGAGAAGACTGCATGGCAAGTACAATACTCACTTTGTGACAAAAGCTGAGAGAACCGGGGCCAGGGATTTAGGGAAATAATCCTGCTGGACCATATGGTTCAAGGTCATAAGAATACCATAGAGGCTTGGGACAGCTTTGATCTTCTCTTCACTCTGAGAAAAGGACAAGAAGGTGAAGTCAGACATCAGATAATCACTGTTTTATCTAATCCACCGTAGTTCACAGAGGCAACGAATTCCCTGTTGAATGAAGTGCTCCCATACACTGTAGGAGAGAAAGCTGGTCACTAGATCAAGTGCAATGTTCCTCAAGACCAAGGCAGCCAATTCTACAGCCTCCCTGCACCAGCAGCTGAACTAGAGCAGCATCAAGAACATTCTAGCACTTCTCAATTGACAGCAGTAGTAATGAGGAAAGGGAAGTAATGAACCTGCCCGTGGAACAGCCAAATCTTCTCAGAGGCCCTGTGTCAAAGTGTTCTCCTGAGGAAGTCCACCAGACTTCAATTCATAAAGAATTCAATTGCCTTAATGACATAATTTTTTTCTTGTATTATTCTGTAGCTAATTTTTATATCGCCTCCAGTTCTTCGGCAGGCTTCCTCCAGAACTTGACCCAGCATTCCCAGAACTGGTCTGACAATTATGTACAAGATAAAGCTAATAGTCACCCCGCTGCTTACTTGATGCGTAAGTTATTCTTGCTCCCAACATGATGTCAACCTATGTGGTGTAACTTTTACACTGTTGTCATTTATTTCTCCATTGTCATTTCACTAAAGCCCTTCGTTCTGTAGACAGGATCTAGACCTGTGTTCCTTGATGTATGCCTTGGAGTCCGTGGTGCTAAGAATATCTGTCGCTCACGTGCTTCCAGCTACGTAGGACAGAAATTGATGGAAGCTGCTCCCCCCCCTCCACATATGCCTAATTCATCAATAGTCCTCTATATGACAGATGACAATCAGCTGGCTGATCCTCAAGGGCTTTATTGTCAATACCACCTCCTGGCCTGAAAGAGTTCTTCTGGAGCACAAATCTGGGCTTTGCACCTCATGCATATTTGCTGTCTTCTGTATGGGTAAGAGATATGTGGTAGTCCCCGAAACAAGCATTCTGCAGAACAAAAAGCAATCTTGGGTTCTGTTGACCTGAGAAGTGGGAAGCTCAACGTTGGTCCAATGTCCAATCAACACAGGGAAAGGCTAAACTGATTTTTAGGAAATTAAGATGTATCCAAGCATGTGAACAGCTATCCGTACCCCAAGCTGGATATCACCAGAAGGAAATCTATAAACCTAATTAAGAGCAGGCTGCTATAACAGATGTTATGGCTATTTTGTGGTTTAGAATTGTCTTGGTCCAAGCTTCCATTCTCAACTTCTACCTCTTCAGGCAGTGAGAAACATTAACCCTTGCAGCACAAGTAGGCAAAGGTGCTCCTTAAGTTTGCAGACAGAACTTCTCCTCAGTCATCTCACTGGAAGTAAAGCTACAGGTATTCTAATGCAATTTGCAGGTTTCCTACTGATCCTCCATCTTTTCTTACAAAGTTTATTCCCTGTAACTACATATTTAACACTAGTATTTAGCAAAGATACTCCAAAGCATGAAGTTGAATGCTACTGATCTAGCATGAGTAGTTGGACATATGTTTTTGAGCCACACTACTAAGAGATGCCCTAAAGGACCACATTAAGTAATAGTATTGTAGATCAGACTCCTGGACACGGCTCCCTATAGACACCATAGTCCAGCAGCGGCACTATTTTCTTACCTGACCCTCCCTGCCTTTAGGGGATGACTGAGAATGCAGAGCACATTAAACAGCAGAGGTACAAAGAGCTGACATCTCCTTCATCCTAATGCAACCTTGCAATTTACAATTTCTGCTGGACCTGCAGGCTTCCATTGTCCCTGGGCATCAGGCATGCACAGGCACCCAGCTGCTTCCATGGCAACATAATTACCCAAAATCCAGCCAGTCTGGTCTTCCAACAGCCTAAACAGACCATAACTTAACTCTTTCCTGCTTCCTCACCTTAAGCAGTCCCATGTGGATCAAGAGGCTTGTGATGAATGCATCTGAATTAAATGTGGCAGAAGTAAAGGCTTTTCTCATCAAGGCATCTAAAAAAGAAATAAATGTATTGTATTAAACAATACAGAAAGGGATGCTGTTATGGATTTTAAGATCAAGATTGATCATACAGAACTTCAGGGAACATCAGCTGTTAAAGGAGTTTTGGGAGGTAACGCCTGTTAAGATTCCAGTTGTCTCTGCAGGGACTAGGTATAATCTCTGAAACACTGAGACAGGTAAAACCCAGTCCTTAAGTACAAGGCCTGATACAAAGGGCGAGGGGGGGGAAGGCAAACAAAAAACCCAACAGAAAGCACAAAAACCCCCACAAAATTCTGCCCCTGCCAAGCTTCAGATGCAATTTGACCTCAGTCCTATGCACCACAAAATGCTCTACTCAACGCATTTGAACATGTGTGCTATGTGCATACATGCATATGAATATGATCAGATGAAGCAGAGCAGCAAGAGTCAGACCCTTGATATTTTAAAGGTCAGTAAGAATTCACCTTCCATCTGAAACCAAAATGAGCGAGGACACAATGAGAAAATGTGTTCAGCTGTTTTCTGGGCTCCCTCAGGACCAATATTCTGCCACAAGCTATGGGCAAACCTATGCTTTAGCCTCTCATGTCTACAAGGTAGGCAAGGCACCCGTTTTGACCTCTGGCCGTTCTGGTTTCTTGGAATGAGCAGAACCCACTAGAGCAGCTGTAGAACAGTGTCAGATATTAACCAGGGACGCCATTATCAGTTGGTGGTTGCTTTTCTGGAAGGAAATAAATTGCCAGGTTCTACCTTTCCCTAAGGAGTTGGAGTACTAAGGAACAGCTGTCGAGATAAATAGATACACAAGCAGATATCAGACAACAGGAATATCCTGTGCTCCATTTTTTGTTGGAGACAACTCGTAACAGGTTTGAGCAGCAGTAGCTCAATGAGACGCCAACTGACTATTTTTGGCTGATTGGACCCATAACCAACTGCAGGGAACTCTATTACATCACTGTTTTACAGACAGCAGCTAACACAGTTTCACCATGTCTATGTAGTCCAAAATAAGAAATTCCAAACTAGGGAAATGCACATTTGTTTGCAGTAAATCATTCTAAGTGATCTTAAAAATTGATCCAGTTCTTTGGCACAATATTGATAGGTAGCTTATGTATGGGAGAACTGTACTGCTGGGGGATTTGAAAAAGATGAAAGTCAGCGGTCAGATGCCTAGGAGTGTTTGGAAATTTCTGTTTCCAGGTGAGAACATGAAGGGATACTATTAGTCCACCCAAAAGTCAGACCTAACCCGAATCACTGCTCCACAATATACAGTGAGGAATAGTCCCTTGCCTGTACATTAGCTTGTGCCTTGTCCCATGTTGCAAACCTCTGCTTCCTGAAGAAATTAAAGACACTAAGAGGTCTCTCTTTACACTCTTTTATAGAATCATAGAATGGTTTGGTTGGAAGGGATCTTAAAGATCATCTCGTCCCAAAACCCCCAGCCATGAGCAGGGACACCTTCCACTAGATCAGGTGGCTCAAAGCCCCATCCAGCCTGGCCACTTCCAGGGACAGGCTCTTAATACTACACTGGAGAGGTTACTTCCTGCAAAATACTTTTTAAATAAACAGCCTTGAAAAAGTAACTGACCTTGAAACACAGAACTACTGGCTATTGACAGCCTAGCATCAAGCAGACAGAGTAAGGGTAGCACAGGTCCACTAAGACAGCAACTACAGCAGACACTCACGACCAAGCTTTGCAAGCACAGGATACGCTAAGTTCAGAATTAATCTCTGCTTTCACTCCACACAACAGCATGGCACAGCTTGGTACTTTGTTATCTGGAGTTTCCCGCTGCCAGGGACAAAACAGTTCAACGGCCTGGCCCGCAGTGGCCTTCCTCTGTATTGCACTGGTGTCCTTGAGACTGAAACAGGTCACACCATGAGGTGAAAAAAGGTCCAGTCACCTGTTGTTTCATGCACTGCTGTTTTCACTGGGGCTTCATCTTTGAAGACCGAGGATATCCTTAGGAGAGTTGTAACTACTTTCTCTACATCAGATGTATCTGTCTGAGAGACAAGAGGGCGGAAAAGAAAAAAAAAATAAAATAAAAATCAAGGGCCATTCAGTTCACTGCTCACCAGCTACAGAAGATGGGTCTCCGCTAGGGCTGTGACAAGAATTACAGCATTCAGCTGACTGGCATCAATTTTGCCTTGGCCTTATCACAAGGCATAAGCAACACTGTGAAACAAAGCTACTCTATGTAGAAGCTCTGGTGCCAGCATAAGCATTAACTGCATCATCTGCTTCCATAAGGTTCCTCAGGATCACTAGGGAGAAGATGCAAATCTAGGTCTCAAGAAAGTTATCACCTCTGGGGATTAAGTGATTCCGAGAGAGAATCAAGCACACAAGACCACTGGCTCACCTACCTGCTGAGCGATCAGCACAGAGCACTTTGGTCCTAGTCGCAGCAGCTTCTCTGGCGATGGGAAAGCAAGGAACGTGGCCACATCCACAGGAGGAGACGGCACTGGAGTTGAATCCTGAAACAGGCAGAATCCATCTCAGGTTTACTCTTGGAAGCAAGTAAATTGGTTCA